ATATAATATTGTATTAACTTAATGGACAATATGGTATTTATGTATATAAGTACGTACGCCAATGATGAAAATCATTGTCAGTCCTGAAGTGAGACGGGAAATTAGTGTTTTATAAACGTTTCATCCCTTAGAATGTTGATATTTTGGTTGTAATACCTTTTTTGAGCCCAAGTGCAGTTCGACCACTACCTGCTTTTTACCCGAGTGCAGTTCGACCATTACCTTTTTTAAACTCAAGTGCAGTTCGACTAAAATAAGTGCAATTCGGCCATAACCACTAGGCCAGACATCCATTACATCGCCTATCTCATTACAATTATACATTTATACCTACATGTACAATTTGCCAATTTCACATAATAATTAACCTATTTTAAAATTATAATATTGAATTAAATACATACCTACAACGTATATGTGTTTATTGATATTTATGATTATATTTTATGATCACTGAATCCAACAGCGGGGCTGCTGCAGGGTTGTCCGAGCCCATTATATTTAAGATATATAAAATCTAACTTAACTTGCAGTTACACATTTAATCAAAAAAACCCTACTCCTACTTATTACTTGACACTTGTACTATTATGCCTTGCTCACACTATATAAAAGGCAAGCATTTGGGCCCTGTGAAGAAAAACTGCTAAATATATCGATTAAATATACTCTACGGGGCCCTTACTTCCTATATTGACCAGGCAAACGCCAAGCAAATACAAAAATTTACGATACCCTAAAAAAAAGGAGGGACCAGGTTAGTTAGTTAGTTAGTTATCGGACACTGTTCATCCGTATCACCTACTAGATCAACAAAACTGTCTTTGACTATTTGATAAGGCAGAAATGGTAGACCAAAACACCATTTTTTAACCCTTTTCCCAATATATTCTTATCATCCGAGTATGCTGACCTTAATTATTAATACCATTTATCTATGTAAAATATATTTTATAAATAGCTTCATAAAAAGATTTTGGATAATCTATAGGAAAGTTTTTTGCCTTGCTTTTTTAGACAAGAAATATCCTTATGTACAATATCTGAATATCTGTTCTTAAATTGGTTGTAATTATTTTAGTATAATTTTGATTGATTGAGTTGAAATTGAATCGCTGAATTTTCATTTGCAATTTTCTCTGAGAAGTTGATGCTTAATATTTTTAGGTGTTATTTCTTCATTACTGTGATCACCAATAAAATTACCGTATTAACTTGATATTTATTGATATCGGTTAAAATTCTGGCAAAACAACTTTAGTTAGAACATAAACATTTTAACAATCCGACTGCGTTTTCTTATGAAACGATAATTATGTGAAGAAACTACACCTAATTCTTTCCCACGTTCTGGCATTATAATTTGTAATGAATTCTCCATGGTTAAATAAGATCTTAATTAATACCACTATAATATCGAATTATTACTCACTAACACTAAAACCAGTAACTTTTAGAATGACAGGTATAGGTACAAATATATAATTCGCTCAGTTTGATCGTTCAGTGAACTAGTTCAATTTGGTGAACGATGAACGAACGACTAGTCCCATCACTAATATATAATATGCAATAGTTTCCTAAAATAAGTAATATTACCATAGATATTAAAGAATGTATCCATTGGCTATAATCCATGGCTATAATAATAAAATAAAGGGAAGTGTGCGAGTGTGCCAGAATGGGGAAGAGAGAAATACTGTTTTATATCATTGCCTCTCAGAGGCCTTATCATAAATTACATACAATAATTATACATATATACAGTAGAAACCGTTTATAATGACACCGGTTGTAATGACATACTGGGTGTAATGACCTTAGATTGCAAGTCCCGGCAAAACTCCTATATTGTATGTACTAATTTGTATCGATTATAATGACATCTGAATAGTGACTATACGGATGTTATGACGGTTATTTTTTGTTATATTGGATAAATATTTTATCTATAATGACTTTACTTAATCGAAGGTACTATTACAATACCGATAATACCAATAATTTCATCGTTGTTTAGTCGTCAGTTTTATTTTATCGTCAGTGTACGGGTAATCGTCGTGCGGTTAAATGTGTTTTGTGTTCGTGTGTTAAATTATTGTATTGTGAAATTGTAAAATAAGCAAACGAAAGCAATTCACCATCGAAGAAAAGGCAAATGTCATTTTTCGTTTAAAAAAAGGTGAAAAAAATTCCGACAGCAAATGAATTAGGCGTAGGGCACTCTACAATTTCCAACATATGGAAAGCTCGAGACAAAATCGAACAAGAGTTTCAAAATGAAAAAATATCAGTTAAGAAACTCAGAAATTGTACACATACAGATTTAGATAATGTTTTATTACGATGGTTTAAAAATCAAAGAATTCTATGCATTCCAATTAATAGACCAATTCTTCAACAGAAGGCCAATAAATTAGCTGAAGGCCTTGGTAAGCATAATTTTAATTGTTCCACTGGTTGGATTCAAAGATTTAGAGCGTGGCATAATATTGTGTTTTCAACAATAAGTGGAGAATCAAATTCGGTCAATACTGAAATAACACAAAATTGGCTCGAAAAAGTATGGCCTAAATTACGAGAAGGATACACAGATGAAAAAATTTATAATGCAGATGAGACTGGATTTTTTTACAGAATGCTTCCTAACAGAACATTAAAATTTAAAGGAGAAAAATGTTCAGGTGGTAAAATGTCCAAAGAACGTCTAACTGTCTTAGTGTGTGTCTTAATGTTTTTTACTTATTTTATTACTTACTTTATTACTTTTTTCTATATTATACATTGCATAAATAAATACATAATAATAATAATATGTATTGAAGTTACAAATTTTTTTTTTCGTCATTTTGGTTATAATGACAACCGGTTATTATGACCTATTTTCTTTGGTCCCTTGAACGTCATTATAAACGGTTTCTACTGTACATACATTTGTGTATAGGAGTCTATAACTTCAAAATATTTTCATGATCGTTCCCGTACGATAAGCAAAAATGACCTTCCATTCTTTAATATTTAAGAATATTACCGATTTCCATGGTTGTGAACAACGGCAACGTTGCACTAATTTTTGGGTTGGTAGAACGTAACTCAATTCGTAAAAGCCCGAGCTCACAGGAATGCGGTCTGTCTCGGCGGGCTGTGATATCTTATATTATGTGAATATATTAAAATATATATATGCCTATTGCGAGGGTCAAGGTCAAATTCTGTAGAAGACTCCACCCCTGCATGTGTACAAATGCGTAACATACCAAATTTACGCTCAGAAATTCAATTTTTATGCCTTTAGCTTAAAAATTAGAGTGAATCTACCTATTATGAAATGTATTGTTAAGAAAATTATCCGTGTTTCGTAGGGAGTTTTTTTTACGAGAATTCAGTTTTTAAGTAAGTTGTAGTGTATAATAAATGTAAATTAAAAATGCTCAAAAATCACTTAAAAACTGAACTATCGTAAGAAACCAACATACAAACACAGACGAAAACACATCAAGTTTCATAATAGGTCGATGCACTGTAATTTTTGAGCTAACGGCATAAAACTTAAATTTCTGAGAGTGTAAATTTGGTATGTTACTCGTTTGTAAGACAGGGACAACACATGCGTCGGTGGCTTCCTCTTAATTACAATCGTACCGCCCACAGCGACAGCGACAGACCACGTACAGAACGTTCGGTGTGCTCGGGCTTTTGTAGTGAAAAAGGTACATACGCAATCTGTAACGGGCCTCCTAATGCGGTCAATTTGTGAGCAGGGAAGTGGCAAGTATATACACGGCAGGTATATACATAGTTGACTCGGTGTGTGGAACAAACAGGTGTCGATGACAAACGGGTGTCGCCTGACTGCCGCCGACGAAACTGGTCGCCGCCGAATATAATATTGTCTCCTGACTTGACCAGAGTATACTCATCTATCACTGAACAGTCTCGTAGTCACATGTGAATCGAGTTTCAACCTAAACATTTACATAAACACTTTTATTATTTAGGTTAGTAAACTCAAAAAGGGTAAAGTAGGTAGGTAAAGTAGGTAGGTAAATTATTGTTTATATTCTTAAAATGGTCTCGCTTGTCTACAACTATTTTGCGAAACTGAATAAGAGTAGATTTTTTTGGAAACTCTTTGTGAAAATATCAGACCTTCCTCTCTGAGAAAAGGAATTCCAAAAGTTATTATTGAGTAATTTAATGAATTCACAGCTCGGGCCGTTTTCTGGGTTGTCACTATCGGCAGACCTACATACACAATTATGGATACCTACTGTCCATCACACTACGAAACAATTTGTGGTTAGGTACCTATTCTTCTATTTTAAAGGACAACTGTACATACACTTTTCTTTCTACTAGGCTAGATATTCGGAATATTAGAAAAGGTACAATATCAATAAATTTCAGCTTTCCATGTTAAAATAATTTCAAATACAAATTGTTGTAAATTTACCTTGTCTAAATTTTTTTTTTTTTTAAATGCAATCTACGATCTATACCACATGTCTAAAATTTGAAAACCGTTATTGTATTTATAAAAATAAATTTAATCTAATTTTATAAAAAATTTTTTTCTTTTTAAACAACGCAGATGATTGAATGACATGGCGACCAACGTTCATGGAATAATGTGCATAGCTTGCGTCGTATTAAATACTCAGTAACCAACTGTAACCACGCTTGTTATACCAGGTAATTTTCTGTCTTCGGAACGCGCCGGTCGCCGAGTTGTAATCTCCCAGACTCGAACGTATTGTACTGCGACCAAACGGATCGGGAAAACGTCAGCGATTTAATAATCAACAAATATCGTTTTTGTGTCGTTTTTGCAGACCTAGGGCCGGATACCGAGTGCCGACTTGGCTTTTCACTAAGTAACATCGGTTGAGTGGCCCTCGTACGTTGAAAGTCAATTTCGGCGGCAGCGGTTCATGTACAACATCTTTGGAGGTGTACGCACTATCAGTCGAAAGACCACCGCCATAGACGATAACAGCGTTCTAACGCACATCTTCCGTTACCGTAATGCCGTATCCGTATGGCGTACTACGACCATTGGTGTTATTGGTGTTTAGTGTAAATTGTTGTTTTTTGTTTTGGTCGGCGCGACTTGTAGATCGTTGTGTATTGTAGCGCGCGCAGAGCAACGACGCCGGACCGCATCCGCGTTCTCGTGCACGAACCGTCGCTGGATAATCGTAAGCTTCAAACAGTTCAAACTTGAACTTGAAAACTTCAAAGTGGTTATCCTTTCGTCGTCGGAGTGTGCGTCCTGGATCCGGCAACGCGTTTTTGTGCTCGATAACAATAACAATCCTCCGGTGTGTACGTTTTACATTGCATACTATCGGTCCCGGACTATCCGATCCAAATCGCCGTGTATTCGCCGCTAAGTCGATCATCTCGCGGTCTGCGTTTTAATGATCGTATTCCCGTTGCTTCATCGCCATCATTCCCTTCGGCATCCGCCTTCCAGACTCGTACGTACCGTGTGTCGTCGATCTTGTGTGCTTCCGGCCGAACGCCGCTAAAGGCGTTGTTTCACCATGGACACCGTTTACAAGTGCCGAATATGCTTACGCATGTACCACGACAAGGAAGTTGTCATCGATTTGTCGTCGGAGGAGGCAAAGACGGAACAAATTGCCGCCAAAATACTATGTTCCCTGTCAATCTTGGTAAGTGCACCGAATGACATAGATATTAGCGATTCTTCTTCTTATTATTTTAATTATTATCATTTTTTGTGCTTGCATTGTTGTCCGTCTTTCAGTGTTCTCAGCTGTCAAGGGTGTTATAAATCAGTGTCTCGTCTTGTGTATGTAGCATTCATAAACAAAGGTCGATTGCGATACTTAGGGTGTTTGCGATAGTGTCTCTTTACTATCTAATATACAATTACTTAGTTCTACTTCAAACATTATATTGTGTACCTATTACTACCTACTATTCAGTATTATATTGTGTACCTATCACTACTATTCAGTATTATATTATGCATTTCATTATACAGTAGGTTAGCTACTACCTATGTAAATTAATTGGAAGGTCATTAGTTGTAATAATAATACAGCTATTGACTCCAAGTACCTAATTTACGTACTGTATGTATATAATATAATAATAATATTATGTAAGTTATCAGAATTGTTATTTTTAGTTTAAAACTTTAAAATAATTAGGTACAGAAATAAATATGTGTAACAAAAACTACTAAATACAATATTTATAATAACAAACTGATATCTTTAATATCCTATTTGGTGTTAGTAGTGTTGTCACTAGCCACAATTGCATATTATTATATATTAAGAAGCATTGAAAATCAATTTGATATATTTAAGTTTTACTGGATATCCTTTTTTGCATTTTTTTTTGTTTTAACTTATGTAGGTAGTTAAACATTTGAAAACAATGGTGAAGTAAAAATTTAGCGGTCATACTTAGTTTTAAAGTTATAGCTATTTGAAATTCGAGACCCACCCAATGTAGTCTTACAAAACAAGTCGAGAGATATTTTTGATTTTAATCGTCCAAGCAAGCGCAGCCTGTGAGTAACCACACCGGTTGTATATGAAAATACTATAAATTTCAATTTGCTATAACTTTAAATCTAAGTTCGACCACTAGCTTTTGACTTTTCCATCGTTTTCATCATGCTTAACTATATACATCAAAACAATTAAGTCTGCTGTACAGTAGGTTACAACTGGGTCAGTGTATAATGGATGGTATTCAATTTGAATTAAATGATATTATATCATTGTATAAGAAAAAGGATTCTGAGAAGTTTGGCTGAGACTGTTGTCAGTCTACGTATAAGACATATTATATACTTATCTTTGGTATTAAAAAAAATTGACCTATAATAAATTCCAAATTAATGATATCACAATAGCCATTAGGTACTTAAGTAGTTATACATCAACAACAAACCGTGATACTATAATAGATATAAAATAGTATACTTTAGAAGTTTCAATTACCCACAAATAATATTATACAATCACAACAAAATAAATAAAATAGTTATTCTAGGTTTTTAATATGTAATTTTGTCCAAATTTGAACTTAAAATGACTATAAAAATAAATAGTGCTTATGTATTTTTTAGATTTTTTGGTAACAAAATAAACTACTTACGTGGAATCTCGTTTTAAGTTTTCAATCCTTGGATATAAAAGTTGAACATTTTATAAATTTTTAACTACAAAATAATTATTCAATTTTAAATTTGATACATTTTGTCAAAACTCAATCTTTAAATGCTTATAAAAAAAATTGTGCCTATGGAATTTTAATATTTTTCAAATGTCATTGTAACAATATAGTAGGAGCCTTGTATTAAATTTTCAAGTATTTTTACTCAACAAATACCTAATCTTGTATTGACATTCAAAGAAAAAAAAAACTAATAAAATGGGATACTGAAAATGTCCCTAAAAAGTTCAAAATATTTTGAACATTTTATCATGTATTGAAAATGGAAATATAAACAACCAGTGAAAATGTCATGTATCTACGGTCATTTGTTTTAAAGTTACATCTTAAATAAAAGTCGATTTTATGAAAAATCTTTTTTGCCTATAAATTCCCGTTTTCCTTAAATTTTTTTTTTGTTTTTTACGGCACTTTTTAAAACTATTGGGAATTTTAAAGTCTGACCTCCCCAATGCACCAACTAGATTCACTTTCCCATCGAACAAGATTCTGAAGTTAAAAATCGAAGCATTATTTCGACTACTTATCGTGTACAAAGACACAAAAATTAAAAAAAATCAATACATTCATCATTCCACTCAGAATCTAAAAAAGAATGTCAGTTAAAACAGAAAAGTTCCACAAACTTAGTAGGTAGGTAGTGTTTATTTTTTTGAACCAATTTTATGACGAAATAATAATTGTCAAAGGTAGGTACAAGGGTAGGTACTGTTGTACACTTATACCTACTAAGAAAGTGCTTCTTTATATTATATGAAAAAATAATTTGTTACTGCCAAAAAATAAAAAAAGTTTATTAAAATTAGAGCTTGGGCCAAATTGTAATAATATAGGTAGACTACCTTCTTAAAATGTTACCAAATAAATCTTGATATAAATTTCTAAAAGCCAATATACTTGAAATGTACCTCCTTAAGAGAACACCACACCCACATGTGATGTCTCCGTCTTACAAGTGCTTAACATTCAAAATGTATGCTCAGCAGATCATGTTTAGCTCAGTTGGTTTAAAAAGTATAGTGAATCGACCTATTATAAAACTTGTTGTGTTGTCTGGGTTTGTATGTTGGTTTCTTACGATTATTCAGTTTTTAAGTGAGTTATGAGCATTTTAATTTACCCTATATTATATACCCATAACTAGCTAAAATATTGATCTGTCATAAAAAACCAACATATGAACATAGGTTGGTAATGTTCTTAATTTAGTACATTTTACAATTTTAAAATACTCATAACTCGCTTAAAAATTAAAATGTAATAAAAACCTCATGAGATTGTCTAGATAATAATTTTACCTTTAGATTTTATAAGAGGTCTATTTACTCTAATTTTTAATCTAACGGAGCTACACGTGTTCTGCTTCGCGTATAATTTACTATGTTACGCACTTGTAAGACTGAGACAACACATGCGAGTATCACGTCCTTTTAAGTTTCATAATAGGTAAATGGATTCACTCTAATTTTTAAACTATCGGAGCCAGGCGCGACATACAGAGGGGGGTTTTGGCCCCTCCCGAAAATTAATAGTTGTGTCCTTTATTTATATACATAGTGATACAATTAGGGCCAGTTGTACCATGTATGATTAAAGTTAATCAGAGTTTAATCGGCCAAATTTGCTCGTTTAAATATTTGTTATCAGCTGATTAAGCTTAATCATAGTTAAATTATAGATGGTACAACTGGCTCTTACTATACCTTTTATTGTAACATACATTTTGAATCACCCCGTGTATAGATTATGATTTTTTCTTAAACTAATTGATAAATATTAACTATAACAAAAATTAGGTACCTATTTAATTTGTCAGTTCTTTCTGTTACATCCTGTACTTATAAATAAATATTGTCATAAAAATGCCTTTTAAAAGTAATTTATTTTGAAAATCTCATATTACCTATATAGTACCTATAGGTAGTATTATGGTGCTGGTTTGTTAAAAACCTACTGATATCCAGTGATGTAGTCCTGTTATATATCCTTTTAATAATCAAATAACTCAACAGAAACATGTACCCTCGCATGTACCATTACTATTAGGTACCTGCCGTAAATGTCTATGGCATGTTTAGAAACTAATAATCCAACTGATATCTTTGTGTGTTTTGTTGGTCATTTACTGAGTATTATTATTAATATTATCAGGTACATATATATTATTACTCGTATTATTATTACAATTAATTTTAAAGTTTTTAACACAATTGTCCGGTGGAAGTTTTTTAATTAATTATAATGGATCATAATCACAAAATTTTGCCCATTATAATTGATACTACTACAATAGTCAATATACATTTATATCATATACCTAATGTTAGGAATTTATATATAGGTAAATTAAATTATCACTAACTTATTAATAGTTGTACTACAGATTTTTGGACAAGAACATATTGTTGGTTGTCTATAGCGAATAATTTCAAAATTTTTTCTTTACCTAAACTTTAATTTGTTCCTACCTATCTTAGTTTTTAAAATGTATATTTATTATATGTATCTTTAATACCTACTTGCTTTAATATTTAATTTTATCCAATATAATAATATAATCATGCTTGTGTGTGAATGTGTGATTGTTAATTATTTACTATCAAGGACTAATAACACCCCTTGTAATAAATTTAAATCCATGCCATGTCCCCAGATTTGGGTAAATTACTTTTAAAAAGTAATGAAATTATATTACTCGTTACTTCAAATACTTTTATCTCGACTTTTATTTAAATTATATTTACATTACCTAAAATTATTTTTATCACGTTACATTACTTTTTCATTAATAAAGTAGTGCATTACAAATAACGTTACTTTTTTTTTTAACCATATTCAATTCCTATGATTCAATTCTTATCTCGATTCTTATGTATATATTTTACAATCATAAACCTAGTGATAATAGTAAATAGACCTATTATAGTATTATGGACAAATGTACAATCATCTCATCTATATAGCTATATTATAGTCATAAGTCATAAATCATAATTAAATTTTATTTTTAAACCAAACTCTTTTCTTTCTGCTAATAAAGTGATAACATTTATTCCTGGAATGTTTAGTAATATTAATATTAGTTAACTATTATCGGAATCAAAAATAAATATAGTTGTTTTTTAATTTTTCTGGGATATCCTATCGGCTTGTTTTTGCAATGCATTCAAACCTTCTATTTTAATAACGTGGAAAATAACTCATTAGTGCGTTACTTCATAGAAATTACTTTTTACAAGTAATTTTGTTACAATTGCATTACTTTATGTAAAATATAATGAAATTACTGCTGCGTTACTGAAAAAGTAATTGCGTTACAGGAATTTGTAATTTGTGTTACGTTACTATCCAACACTGCATGTCCCTAACTTGAATTTTCCTACCGGCTGAGAGCCTACTTCAAAAAAATATAGTATCTTTATATTCTATACTCCGGCCCACTAGAGAATATTACCGTCGCCCGACGAAAACTCGTCCGATTCCGCGCATTCCCCACTACTCGGCATGTGCCGACAACTGTTCGGTACCGGTCGGCAGCGCTCAACGCTATACGGTGTATAGCGGTCGCGGAAATAGTGGGGGAAATGGGGCCTCGGAACGGTCGCAAAACGGTAATACTCTCTCGTGGGCCGGAGTATAGTAGGTACCTAACTTTTATATCTTTTAATTTTACTATGTATAGGAATTGTTATGTATAGCCACTAGCTAGTATAGGTACTACCATTGATTATAAATACTAGTGTAAATGTAATTGCAATTATAAAAAATGTATACTAGTATTTATAATCAATGGTACTACCCATGGTTTAAATTTACAAGGTTATTGCACATAGCCCATATTGTTATCAAACAAAAATAAAATGGTAGCGTAAGGGTATAGTCCATATCATGTATATAATATCATAGTATAGCCAGTATACGTTACGTCGTCCCCCTTACGCTGCCATTTTAATTCCTTAACATGATAAAATTATATAGTGGGGGTATTATTGCAATCATCTTGTATATTTAAGCCATGGTACTATCTATAGCAGGGATGGCAAATCCATGGCAAGCGTGCCCGTGGTAGCTCGCTAATTTTAGAGTTAGGCAAATACTTGACATTGGAAAATGTTTCAGTCGAATACTCGTTTCACTATTTTTAGCTAGTACTTAATTTTGGAAAAATTTTAGAGTTGAGTTCGATTACTCTTTGACTAAAAATTATCGAGTACTCGTGAATTAACTGTTTAGTAATCGACATTAGATCTTGCTCGAAATAATTGAATCTCAACATCTAAAAGCAATACTCGCTCATCAATAGATTTTTGTAAATGTCCTTAGTTTTATTGTATACGGGTTAGGTGTAATATAGCATGTAGCATAATATAGTAAAACACATAGTCAATTTTAATTAAATTAGTAAAAAAAATAACATAAACAGTAGTTATGTTTTTAATGACTGGTTTTAAGTAATACAAATAGTACCCATTACAATAGTTATAAAATATAATAATTAATTTTAATACGATAAAGCCTTCTATATAATATAATATATTTAATTTTTGATCTACATTAGTGCTATAACTATCCATAATTGATATTTTATTTCATAACATCTCATCCCCTAGCTCATCATAATAATGTTTTCTATACACTCAACTTCTTGATCACTTAAATCTGACTCAGTAAGGTGTACCTTTTTCTGTGCCCATTTAATCTCAAAAATGTTCCCTACCTATAGGATCATCATTAAGATCAATACTATTTGCACATGGTGAAGGGGTTGTGATAGTTTTTTAAATTATTTGTTTCTTAGCAGTTTTAATTTGGGGAATTTTTGGGTGGAACATTTACGCCGATTACTACACCCATAAGTTGCACAGCAACAGTCTCTGCGTTTATAATAAAATAATTTTCATTATTGCATTGCTTGGTAGTGGCGGCGATTAATTTATTTGCTTGACTTCTGGAAGTCATGATTTGATTAAAATAACACACGCAACATGGAAATATTCAAACAAGTAAATACAGTAGTTATTAAAACATTAAAAACAGTAAAAAGAATAATTAATATTACTATTAAGAAATCAGATTTGTTTAGTTGTAATCACCAATAACATTATCAGATAAACGTGCGGGAAAACGTATAATGTCGCATACAATATTTTACATTTTTTCGAATGTCGCTTAAATCATTTGTGGTGCTTACGACCAAGGTTTTTATAATCATTTACGATTTTTGTCACTTACAAAAAAACACTTAAACATCGATCAAATTAATTGTATTCAATATATCGATACCAGAGTCAGCGCTATCTATGCGTCGTAATGTCCCTTACGCCAAGATGACAAAAAGTGAATTTCAAAAAATTGGTCGCTTACGCCAAATAGCCTTCTAACCGTCGATATTAGGTATATAGGTAGTATTTTATTTTTAATAATGAATTAAAATATCATCACAATGCTAGTACTTTTTCATTATTATTGACATCTTTCAGAAAAGATTAGATTACCTAGTAGATTCGTTAAAAACGTATATAACATACTGAATGCAATATATAATATTATATAATATATATACAGTGTGTAACGGGACTATTTAACAAATATAGCAACGTTTGTGATGACAATTTGTTAAATAGTCCTGTTACACCTTATATAAATATAATATATTACCGTATATTACTGTCAATGTCAGAAATCTGCCATTATCAGTAATGGCTAATCAATATTAACAGTGACTATTTAGGTAAGTCAATGCTGATAGGTAATATATAAAATGCCTACAATTGATAGTCAATTTGGGTAATATTTAATTTATTTATTAAAACATAACTGAAATCGACTAAACCATGTATTATTATCATACAAATATATTTTTTTCTCTCAAGAGAAACTACTATGGCACTTCGGATTACATACATCTTTAGATCCTCGACAAGCACATTGATTATTTTTACATTTTGTTTTATAATAAACCCCCAGCAATACCCTTATGCCCGGCAACCTCTCGGAGAGTAATTTCTTTTTCTTTTTCAACATCCCGATTTGCCCATTCCTTTGACTTTAGCGATCGACTATGTCGAGGTTTTCCATGCACAATTTTTATGTCTCCCCACATTTCATTGAGTTTTATCATTATTTTATTGACAAATTCTCTGCTATTGTTGGAGTGTAAAATGGCCGGTGCTCCAAAAATGGTACAAATATCCATTATATTAAAATCAATTTCTTCGGCACGTTTAGTTTTTAAAGGTCTTAAAATCACAAACTTTTTTAAATGATCCTGATAATTCATAAAACATAATATGGCTTCTTTTGTAATATTGCAATATTTTTGTTTAAGTTTGGATACTATCCTATTTCGAATACCTTGACCAATAGAAGTATGACATGTATTTAGAATATCAAACAAATCCTCTTTAGTTACAGAGTAAAAATGGTATTGGATACAGTATCTTTTACACTCAGCCACCTCTTCTTCCTTCTCCACTAGAATAACTATCATGATGATAAAGGCTATCTTTATGGATTATATTCGAAACGCATTAATATTGCTTCCATATTGTATTCAATGAGATATTCAGTTGGGCTGCAGAGTAAGTTCTCAAAATCTATGATCTTGGCCTAATAACAACCCTAGTTCATACCATTTCGGGACAATAATATTTTTTTTGTAGTGTACCTTATAGTGTAGCATATACATTTTAAAGAAATAATATCTCATCAAAGGTACCTATTTGAATCCCACTTTTCTGAGCACTCTTATTTTTTTTAACAATTCTCTTTGTAGGTAAGTAGCTATATTTACTTGAGTATTTACACTTCAGGAAACATCTCTGAAAATTGAATAATTAGATAATAATAGCCATTAAATAAAAGCCTACCTCTTTAATGTTGAACAATATTTCAATACCGGCTCTAGATTCTAATCCAATTCCAAAAATGTGTATTTCAATAAATATTGTGCTGGGTAATATTCTAAACATAATAGATATTTTATTATTAATAGGTATTTAAATTTACCTAATAATTATTTGTCTTACTTTTTACAGATCACTGATCATGATCCTATAAAGCATATTTGTAGAATATGCTATGGGCAAATTGAAGTTAATTTCAGATTTGCAACTGCATGTCGAATAAATAATGCAAAGTATATTGAAAACTTATCAAATGCACCTTCAAATGATGTGATCAAAACAGAATATAAAAAATTTACAAAAACCCCGCTTCATGCTTTGGTAATAATAAATTTGAACTATAAAGTATTAAGAGGATTAGCAAATCTAACAAGTGCTAAACATTTTACGCTCAGCAGATCACGTTTTGCTCCATTAGTTTAAAAATTAGAGTGTATTGTTGACTTCTTATAAAATTTAAAGGTAACATTATAATCTAGATCATGACGAAATACCAAGCTATGATCACAATTTTGTGATACGCCTTATGTCTCTATTATCTGAAATAGGAGTATAAGAGTGGGAGTCTTCCTTGGCTTTTCATTGGTCCTTGTTAATATTATATTATTGTATGTATTTATTATTAACTCGTATAACGCGCAATGAATATAAGCCAATCAAATGACGAATATGACTCCCACCCTATTCTGCTTTGACTGAACAAAATTCAGTTTATTGTGATCATACTTTGTTATTTTGTCATGATCTAGATAATCTCCTAGACTTTTTATTATATTTTTACTTTAAAGAGAGTTATGATTATAAATTGTTAATTGTTAGTACATCTTAAATACCTACTCATAACTGGCTCTAAAATTAAAATATAATTAAAACTTAAAAGCCTATGAGATTGCCTAGATAATAATCCTACCTTTAAATTTATAAGAGGTTAATCTCTAATTTTTAAACCAACAGAGCTAATCATGATCTTCTGAGCGTAAAATTGTCTATGTAGCGCACTTGTAAGATAGAGCAACACATGTGGGTACCACATCCTCTTAATCAGATTATAATCATTTATAAATCATGAACACTCTATAATTATATTTATTTATTTAATAAAGTATATTAATAGTCTTAATCTATTGGATTTTGATTTTATAGTTTAATAAATACCAGTATGATGTGAAAGGCTTATTTGATGCTGTAATAAGCTTTTTGAATGATACTAATGAAAACCTAAGTTCGACTAGACATATTGAAAAATTTGACCAATATTTTGGTCTTAATAGCCCCAACAGGTTAGTATTAGCTTAATATTATAATAAGTACCTAATTAAACATTATAAATATTTTTTTCCATCATAAAAATAATTGTTTTTGAATGAAGTGTATAAATTGGTTGTAAGTTTAAGTATTTTTTTTTTTTTTAAGTATAATAGGTACTGTACCTATAAAGGATGTTATGGCTATCATTGTTAACAGTACCTACCTAATTTATTTAAATCAAATAAAAAACATAAAAATAAAATATAAATATAATTTTTTTTTGTGTATTTTGAGTATTTACAAGTATAAATTTAATTTAAATTAAATATTATCAAATTATGTTCATTAGGAAAATAGAATATTTGTATACCCAGAGAAAATGTTGAAGGACATTTTCTGTAATGATGTTTAATATTATATTAACTCATGTTAATGGTTTATCGAGAATAGTGGGCCTATAGCATCTCTAAATAAATGCATTAATGATAATATTTATTTTACTATAAGCAATTAAAAATTTGAATGTCAAATAATTTATTTTGTGTGTACTTATCATGTATTGTTTTATAGTAATTCAAATCAATTTGATATTGAAAATGATACACCTATTGGAATTCCAGAAAGCTCTTCGCTACTTGGAGTAAATATCTCTAGTACAAATGAACCCAATGTGTAAGTAGATATAGTTTCATTTTATTGTTAGTTGTGTAATGGGTTGAGCTTATAATAATTCCATCTATTTTATCTCAAGATGATTTTACACCCGTAAGCATTATCTCCATCTTACAAACATATTACATAGCAAATTGTTCGTCCTGAATAATCCATTTAACTTTGGTATGCTTGATATTAGAGCGAATTGATTTTTTATTAAATTTGGAAGTAAGAATATTATCTAATGAATATCATATTGTTTTTTTCTATTTTAATTTTAAATCAAGTTAAGATAATTTTAAAATTGTAAATTGTTTGTACATTTTAAAATTCTCATAACTCACTTTAGATATACACTAGATAATATTCTTCATATAAATTTGAAAATAGGTCAATTCACTCTAATATTAAAAATAACTGGATTAAAACATATCCAAATAATGTTTAACCATTTTTTATAACCATTAATATTACTCAGGCTCAACTTACTTTTAATCCCCTTGAATTTTGGTCTTTCATGAATAAAAGGCGTAACTTTTCTTCAATTTAAATTACATTTCTGTTTGTGGTCCTAATGTTGGAGATCTATTTTCTTCTTTTATTGCCTCTACTTATAATCACCATCTCCTGCTTCAAGTCTTGCTCTTATGAATATTAAAATGCAACAGTTCTCCTTATTGCCATCCCAATTATCTAATATCTATATCTCTGGAGGAAGTATCTGATACTCTTAAAACCCTATCCAATGCCCTGATAATATTCCAGCTTGTTTACACTTCAAATGTCGGGGGGTTCTCTGTTCCCCACTTTCCACTATTTTAAACAAGTCACTCATGAAAGGGAATTTCCTAACTGTTAAGAAATGGCCATGTTACACCGGTCTTAAAATCTGGTGATTCTAGTCACAAATTATAGACTAGTATCAAATCTTCTTTTTATTGATAAACTCTTTGAACTTTTAGTGCTTAAAAACTTTAAAGCCCTCTTCACTCTGCATTATAAATGGACCAACTCTTTTTTAAATGAGCATCTCATTAGCACAAAATGAATAATTGCAGCTTAAACTGTCGTAACCTGCTCGAGTTTTGACCAGTTTTCGTCCGTCGCCTGGTGCGTTCTCATTTGTAATTGAGTATAGTTCTTTAGATTTTTCTTGTTTTATTCTCGATGCCCTTAAAGATAGAGTTCAAGTAGATACTATATTTTTCACTGACTTCTCGAAAGCGTTTGGTTCTGTTGATCATACCTCTCTTATCTACACACTGGATAGGTAAGGAATTGGTTATCCTCTTTTGTCATGGATTCATTCATACCTGATGGATAAATGGGAATATGTTGTTTAATAGTATAATACATTCCAAATTATTTCAATGTTTTTTCTGGAGTTCTGTAAGACGAGCATATATCCCCACTACTATTGAACCTTTTTGTTAACTCGATCTTCAGCAATATCCCATCCGTTTGTTTACTTCTTTTTGCCACTGATGCGAAACTGCTCTCCCATATATCTTCCAATATTGATTTTGGTGTCCTTCAATCATCGTTCAATAGTTTTTTAACTGGTGTCACACTAGTGGCGTCATTTCAGTTTTCGAGAGGGGGGGGGCAAAAGTTTTGATAACTAAAAAAAAACCTGTTATCTGAGATAAAGCAAAAATAACTCACTTTTTGAGGGATAACAATGACTAATAATACATATATAATAACATGTACTATGTAGATTATAGAGGGATACCTTATATTACCTATTAGTTATTAGGTATACTATGACTTATTTTGAGAGGAATTTTACCCCAATTGATGTTATATTTAAACCAAATATGAGTATAAATGTACTATTTGCTATGGTATGCATTTGTAAGACTGAGATAATTCATGAGGATGTAGCGTCCTCTAAAGGATGCAACAGTTTATAATAGTTAATTTACTAAAACATAATATACTATCAATAATTGATTCAATATATACTAACCTTAAAATATAATATTATTTTAGAAACATAACTTACCTGTTAATGTTACCAGTAAAATTGTATTACCTCTTATCAGTCAAATGTATATTTAAAGAGGTACTTCATTATACATGGATTTACAACAATTAGTTGGAAAAAAATTGTAAATTATGGAGCAATGCTTAAATATATACTTTACTATGATAGAAAATATACATAATGGTTCATAAATAATAATTCTTCAAAAAAACTCCCAGTAAATCCTTATTGAAAGCTATTCAATACACTTTATATAATTTAAAAGCTATAGGATAGATGAGTCATTAAATAGTAAATACTTTAAATAATTTAGTGTAAAGATAGGATTATGTATTTAATCTAAAAAAGTAAGCAACAAAAAAAATGACTTAGCACTCGGATAACCCACTTGCCAATACTTTTTATTTGGACAATTATTATTACAATATGCAGAATTTATTATATTTGTATTGAACTTAATGTCTACAATAAATAAGGTACCTGTAATATGTTAATAAAATTGGATTTTAAATAATAATTTTTTAATAGTATTTTATCTAATTATAGTACAGTGGGGACTTAAGGTGATCTACAAGAAGTTAGCCCCCCTTTTAATTGTTAAAATTAATGTACTTATATAGTTATAGATAATACATATAAGTATTTTTATTTTTCTAGTGACACTGTTGATGATGTTATTATTGACCGTATTGATAATTCTGGTATAGATCTTAATAACCGATCTTTAAAACCTATCATGTAAGTATATAATAAATATTAATATTAAAAGTTAAAAACATAGGTATATACTATATATAAATCATTTAAAGTTGATTAAGTTTGAAATTGTTGTTATACATGTATCAGATGATATTATATTCTGTTACTTGGCAGATTTTAAGAACACGTTTTTTTATTTGTTACAAGGAAATATGATTGTTATTTATATATAGACTCATTTTCAATATCTAATTGAAAACTTTTGTTAGCTCAGATTTACTTACAAAAATGTCACTGTACAATTAGGCAGACTATTTGAATATTGTGTTTTCAACATTATTTGGTATTACCAGTGGCATATATAGGGAGTGGGCATAGTGGGCTTCAACCCCCCCCCCCCCCGACATTACATTCTTTTTAAATAAAAGAACAATATATTTTATTAGGTAATATTATAAGTTATAATATTTCATAGCCTGTTGAAAATTAACAAATGCGAATATATTTATAGAAACTGTTAAATATATAGTAGACAGTAGCCTCTAAATAATAGATCACTTGCTAGTTTCTATCTACTATAGCCCACCCCAAAAATTATTTCTATATACGCCACTGGATATAATCCCAAATTGTGCGTTTAATGATGGGTTCATCATAATTAAATATTAATAAATTATTTTGAACTTCATAGTTTCTTTATTTTTATAATGTAGATGTAATCATTATTATGATCTTTCAAATAAATGGTTAGTTTAGATAAATAATATAGATAAGGTTAAAGCCTCAAGGAGTGGTATGTCCAAGGTTTTTAAAAAAACTGGATCAGGTTCTATCACGAGAGGCTTCTCTGTTATAATATGTAACATCAATGAACTATGTATTACAAACCATACAGGTTCAATTTAACTGCTGATTTATTGTGGTACATTTTTTGTATTTACAACTTCGGTAAAAATCGTGGATGTTACTTTTTTATCATTATCATTAAAAATAATCAATATTTGTTTAATCTGTTCTTTGAATGCTTGCTTCATTTCCACAAATATTGGATACATAAAAATAAATACACTTATGACAAAAACCATTTGATACAGGTTATGGGTATGACCATTTTACAAAATTTTTAATGGCATACAATAAATTATTATATTGATATAAATTATACCTAAGTCAAATTAAATAAGATCAAATTTACTTGAAATTATATTCTAATAATTATAAGTTTATAACTAGGTTAGGTTTCAATAACTCAAAAATCACGAACAAACAAATTATATACTTCTGTATAAAATAATACATAATAATCCTGAATGCAACACTGACTTGGTCCCTATAATAGTGAATATTACATTGTGTATTAACAAATTGAGGGGGGTCTTTATAAACAGTAAATATATATTTACTTCTAGAGATTATCTTGAGATATTGTATGTTTTTGATTCCAATATAATATTTTTTAGTACTTATAATAATGATTATAATATATTATACTGGGTGATTCTTTTATCAAACGACACTCATTATTTCAAAAAGTGTAAATTTTTTTGAAAATATTTTTTTACATAGTTTCAAGTCGCTTATAAAACAACGTTTTTATAAAAAAATTATATTTTTTATACTTATAATTTTTTATGTTTTTTACTTTTTTAAATGACAATATAGGGTTTTAATTTTATATTCTAAAGTAGAATATTTTTCTTAGTATTTTGATACATTAAAATCGAATTTGAGGCGAGTAGTTTACGAGTTATAAGTATTTAAAGTTTAGACGAGCAGAGTGGAGTGGTTCGGGGTTACCCCGCGAAATGTTTGTCCACTTCACCGCTCATCAAACTTTGAATATTTATAACTCATAAACTACTCAACCAAAATTCGATTTTCATGTATCAAAATACTAAGAAAAATATTCTGCTTTGGAATATAAAATTAAAACCTTATGTTGTTATTCTAAAAAGTAAAAAACTTAAAAAAATTATAAGGATAAAAAATATTTAAAAATATAATTTTTTAATAAAAACTTTGTTTTATAAGCGACTTGAAACTATGTAAAAAAATATTTTCAAAAAAATTTACACTTTTTGAAATAATGAGTGTTGTTTGATAAAAGAATCACCCAGTATACTCATGGTTACATAATCTGTAAGGTTATAGCACAATATACTGTATAGGACTATTGAATGTATAATTATTTATTTATTATTTTTTTTAGCAACACAAATGATATAAACCATGCAACTAACACTACCATACCTGGAAACATTCTAACAAATGCAAATATTCCTGTTATGTAAGTATATTATAATAAATCTAATGTTAGTATTTTTCATAACATTAATAAGATGTATTTAAATTTTGAAACAGTTTTATGTATTTTAGATTAAATGTATTGTATTTACACTGTATGTTAAATTTCTGTCATCAACATTTGTGGTAGTAAAAATGCTCTGATTATTGACATTATCATCTTTTCTGATAGAAAATAGAAATCTGAGTAGTTATCTATAGGGTTTGAAAAAAATTAAAGAAAAATGAGAATTTTTACTTAAAACAATTTTTGAAAAAATCGATTATATTTTTTTGATGTAGCTCTTAAAACTAAAAACCGTAGTCCGTTGACACTTGAAATTTTCCCTAAATATTTATGTTAGCATTTTCCATATAATATGATCTTTTTGAGTTATTTATAGTCTTAAGAAATTTTTTTAATATTGTACATTTTTATTAAATTACTGTCAAAAAAAAACTTTTTCACTTGGTAAAAAAACTTGAAAATTTAACGCATGATTCCTCATAAGTTTCTCTAATAGCAGTTCATAAATATTAAAGATACATAGGCACTTTTATCTTTTATATTCCATATACATTTTCAGTTAGAAATTCATAGACATTTTAGGAAATATGTTCTTGAGAATTTGAATTTAAAACTTTTACGATATTTGATATTTTGTTGTAATTCAAAAGTGATAAACCGAAAACACTTGAAATTTTCTCCAAATATTTATATTAGCATTTTCCATACATGGTAAATTTTTCTAAATAATTTGACTTTTTGTGCTATTTATAGCCATGACAAATTTTTCTGATTTTGTAAACTATTTTTCAGTTACAAATTCATAAAAGTGGTTCTACAGTCGTTGCCAGATAAATTGAGCAGGCGGCGGCGGCGCGATAACGGAAAACCAGTGGTTCTCCGTATTTCAATATTATTAGTTATTACCGAAAATACATCAATAAACCAACAATTGTTACAAAAATATTTTACGATATTAATTTAAAATTGTTTGCACTGAGCCGGGTTCGAACTGGTGAATGCGCGCGTCGTAGCCAACTGTGTGACCTATGCACCACACTGCCAGCAACTAGTTTGGGCTACACTTACTGAAAAGCGCCGCCGCCGCCTGCTCAATTTATCTGGCAACGACTGTCCCTTCATAGCCATGAGATATTTTCAATTTTTATTAAGGGGATTGAGGCTGGACAGTTATTTTAGCCAAAACCACATAGACCTGATAATCTATTATCAGGTCTATGGCCAAAACATACCAATCTTTATTCCATCATAAATACTGATCAACCTTACTAGGTATGCAATAGTAATTTTTAAAAACTAATTTAAATTTGTTATTATGTTTATTTAAGATCGGTCAGTCCACTTTTCTCAATTTCACCATAATGTGCCTATGTATCTTTAATATTTATGAACTGCTCTATTAGAGAAACTTATGACGAATCATGCGTTAAATTTTCAAGTTTTTTTACCAAGTGAAAAAGTTTTTTTTTGACAGTAATTTAATAAAAATGTACAATATTAAAAAAATTAAAACAGATCTTAAAATGTGGACTGCCCGATCTCAAGTAAACATTATAACAAATTCAGATAAGTTTTCTGAAAAATTATCGCATTAGGTTGATTGGTAGGATGGAACAAAGTACATACCAATGAGCATAAATTGTTTACCGTTCACGAGTGCAACGCTGCGATTTTGACTAGTACATGTGCGTGCGAGAAAGCTCTACCATTTCTTTTCCTTACAGTCACACTCACTAATGATCATTTATTACACACACACATTTACAAGTCGCGCATGAATGCAATTTAAAAATTGTCTATTTCGAAATCATTAAAAACTCCGCCACAGATCTCCTTATTTTTTTTTTAATTATTAAATTTGTTTATTTATACAAGTATGCTTAGAATTGTTTTTCGTATGCAATGATATCATTGAATTCAAATATAACACATCTATTACAATGACATGCTCAACAATTACTGTACATTAGAGTAGGCCGGTACCCACTTATCCACTTCTTTTATATTTTATATTTTATTGATTTAGCAAAAAAATATATACCTACACAAGTTTTAAATATATTTTTATTTTCAGAAGCTCAAACAATTCAAGCCATACAATTAATTCTAGTTCTGGTATCTTTCGTTTTATTTCTGCTGTGTAAGTATATACTGTACCTAAACTGTTGGTATTTATCATATTAATAATTAGTCATACAATATAAGAATACTAAAATGAATTATAATTAATAAATATTTTACTTATGGAAATTATTTTAGACTGTTTGTATAATAATGGTTAAAATAATAAGTGTCCATCATTGTCTTTTACCAGGGTTAATAGAACTAAAGGTTACATTTATAAAGACGCATAAGTACATATATTTTCTTAAAACTTATTGGTATAGTTATTTTTTACTTAATCACTGTTAAAATGTATGTAATGTAGGGTTGGCACCGCCTTTTGTTTCTGCCTTTTGTACTGAAGAACTTTCATGTCATCTCCTTAAGCCATTTCTTTCATATATTTGCCGGCAGAAAAATGTTATCCGCCCAAAAACTTCTTGATATTAGTGAAAAGTTTGCAGTGTTTTGAGTGTTTCAAAGTAGACCACAGAATTAGTCCTCTTCTGCTGAATAACATTCAATATTTCCAAAGAGGAAATGCTAACCTGATGAGCTGGTATGAGCATTGCAATCTCTGGCCTCATTCTGGATGTATGGATCTCACAGGATCTCATATCCTTTGGGTCGGATACTGTCACTCACTCCTTTACAATCTGCATCTTAGACCCTATGATTATCATTTATCATCTTTCCACTAAGAAAAAAAAGTTTTAAAGTAGAACACTGTTTCTGAAAATTAAGAGATAAAAGTTCCAGTTGAAACCTAAGCTTTGGTAGGTGTGGGTTCTTTTAATAAGAGATAGGTCCAAATAGTGTTCTTTAACTCTAAAAAAGTGGACAGGATTTTATTTTCTATAGTCTTATTTTCGCTACTAATGATAAGTGGATATTGTGCGTCCTTTTATTGAGGACATTTGGTGCAAAGTATTTACGCTTACTTGTGTCGAATCAAGAATTTCTCATAAATTAAAAATGTATGATTCTTATATTGTGCATTAGTTAGCATTTGACTTAACTATCAATAAGTGTCACAAACATTTAAATCATTGTTAAAAGAATTCCTACAGCATATTTAGGTAAACCTTCATGCTATATTTTCACTGCCCTTCTGATAAATAAAACATCAGTCAATTACTCAATTTAAGAATTCTGATGGACTGCTGGCATTCTGCCAATTCTCGGTTTCTCCTATGTTCTGTTAGCATTCTTATAGTTGTTCCTCAAACTTTTGTTTCAGAGTTTTTCTTTTTTTCTTTCATTAATTTCTTCTGATTTTTCAGCATAACTTATTTACTTACTTGCTGCATCCAATAAGGAACCTCTCTTTTATCTATCAACTACCTTGCTTAATTTATTTATTTTCATCCCAACATTTTCTCTTTATTTCTCATTGATAATAATTGATGAATGTGATGACTAACACATTTTGTTATTGGCTCTTGTGCATAGGATAAGAATACATATATTTGTATATTTACATTTAAATACTAAAACAAAATTAAGTATAATAATATCTCCATTATGGTCCAGTAAGTAGTTGTTATAAATTAAATATTATGAAGTCACAACCAAAAAATATCATAACTCAATTGTTGATACAAATATTGTTATACATAGCTTAAACTAAAAAGCCAATTTAGATTTTTCCTTAACAATACATTTTTTTTTATTAATTTTTTATTTATTTTAATTTCATATATATATATTTTTACAAATTACCTTTATTTATTCTATAATTTAATTTTTGTTCATATTTAAATATTATAAATATTTATATTGTATTAAAATATATATTTTTATTTTTTAGCGGAACAAATAATGTAAATCAATCTAGAATAAACCGTCCTATTATGTAAGTATTTAATAATTAATAATATTAAAAGGTAGGTACTAAAATTAATAGGTTAAAATATAGAGGTTAGTATAAGTATTCTTTTATAATATGAATATCATATTCTAATTTTTAAGAGATTATTATAAGAATGATTGTAATAATAACCAAAAAAAAAGTTAAATGGAAAGTCAAATTAATTTATTCGAGCGTTTGAACTTGGATATTATGTCATACAACAATTTTCTTATTTAGTTGTTGTTATTTAAAAACTAATAACCACAAGTACTTGACATCTTCATTAAATATTAAATTTATCATTATCTATTCATGAAAATTTTAAAAATATTTTGACTTGTTTTGAGTTATATAAAGACAGTTGGAATTTTTATTTTTTTTAGTTTTTTACTCTATTAATATTAATAAATTTTTGTTCGTTGTTCAAATAGTAAGAATTCTCATAAATAGTTCATACTGTAACCAATCTAATAAATATATAAACACAGTTATTTTTTATATACATTTTAAATTCCTATTTGGATAGACGTAATTACATATTAAATTTAAGAATAACGGTTTTAGTTTTTTCATTGTAATTGAAAAAAGTCGTCAGTGGCTATATGAGACCTATAGAGTATATATTATTATTATATTTTATAGACCCAATGATTTTTTCAAGTATATTTTTTATCATAAATAAATTTAACCTACTGCTGTACTAATGTCTAATAGCAAAATAAATTACTTTAAGGGGATGTCACTTTGTTTTTTCTTACTGACCCATGTGCAACGTAGACCAAACGCATTTGCGCAGAATTGTTTTTTCTATGTTTTTATGTAATCTTAGAGTAAAAACTCCCATTACAAAAAAGATAGATAATAATGTCTTTCAGAGAATGACATATCGATTTGTCTAAATACTGTTTCAAAACAATTTTAACATAACTTAAATTTACAACATTTATTTGTTTATTTTGAAAGTCAAATGACAATAAAATATAAAATTGATGTTATTCCTTCTAAAATTTTATTCTCTATATTTTTTGTAATGGGTGAGTTTACTCTATGATTACTTAAAAACATGAAAAAAAAATGATTTTACGTTAATGCGTTTTGTCTATGTTGCGTGTGGGCCGAGAGAGTAAACAATAAGTGCTCAAAATTTAGTGTCTTTGTTCAGAATTATTTTTCATATACAATGATTTTATATCACTGAATTCAAATTTAACACACCATTACAGTGGTGACTCTCTTGACACCTAATGTACAACAGAGCCCACTTACCCGCTTTTGTAATTTTATTTTTGATTTATTTTGTAATACGTGTTTTTTTTTATAGTTGTAAAAATAATGTAATCAAATCAACTAGATTTTGCATATTAAGTAAATCTCAATCACTTATGAACGGACGGATTGTGTAAGTATATATATATATACAATATAAAAGAGTAAAAATCATATTACATTAAATGCATTATTTGGAACATAATTTTTCAGAGTTAAAAAATTTGATAATTTTAAGTAATTTTCTTTAGGATCATTAAGAATTTATTTTAAGTTTCCGCACTATTTTCGATTCCCAATAAGAATTTTACTATTATTTTTAATGATTTATTAATGATTCTTTTTCTAACATTAGTTTTGAAGCTTAAGATTTCCTCTACATCTAAAGTATATGTAGAATTTTATTATACATAATTTTCTTTATATGTTCCAAAAATAGTAAATTCCAAGAACTTCTACAATTTATAATAGGTAAAACTACTTTTAAACAATAGCTGTAAAGAAGGAATATTTTTGTATATACAGCGATTGAACATTGAGTTCAAATTTAACAATCACATTACAGTGACCTACCCAATAATTAGTTACATTCAAAACCTACTATTTAGCATAAACGAGATCTCAGTTTTTTGTTTGTCTTTTTATGTGCCATACAAAGAACTTCTTTTAAATTATACAGAAGTAAGTAGAACTATGAGTTGGAGTCGCAGAATTATAAACTTAAATTTTACTTCTAGAGATTATTTTAATGATACTCAATGATGATATTTGTTACGTGTTGATAATAACTAATAAGTAATAACCAATGATCAGGATAAGTGATATTTACTGTATGTATTAGTAGTAGTATTTTATGTTATAAATAGTAATATATTATTGATGAAGTATAATTAGTTGTACGTAGCAAAAAGAGTAATATTATTTATGGATAGGTTATATGTATATATGTATTATGTTTATATTATATTAAATGTGAATGTATTATGTTTTTTAGTAAAACAAATAATGTTCAAAATCTTGGTTCTACTACACATTCAAATCAATCTAATGTGAAAAGTCAGTTCATGTAAGTAAATTAATATCTAAAAGTAAATTAGATATAGGTACACTAACATGATATGGTACACATGAGTTTAGAAATGTTTCATGTTTTTAATAGATTCTATTGTATTAATATAATATTATATATTTGTTTTTCAGAGTCCAAAGTACAGTAAATAATCATAGTGATCAATTAAAGAGAAATGGACAAATAAAGTAAGTTATTTATTATTATTAATTTGTAAAGAAATCAGGATTGTTATTTTAAAACTAAAATATAAAAATATTTTATTAAAAGTATTTAATTTAAAATGTTGTACCTACAATGAAATTAGCGATGAAGTAATTTGTTTGGATGATGATGATGAAGACAATGACAATAATAATAACGGCAATGGTAATAATTTACAAAGGCTTGTAAATACCATAAATCCTAGAAACCAATGGGTACTACCACCACTACCACCACTACTAAGCAGAAAAACTAATACCAACAATAATGCTAATACCAACATTCCTAAATCATATCAACGTAAAAAAAATACTATTCCAAAACAATACATTGCAATTAAAAGGTATGTAATGAGTTTATACATAATATATAATATTAAAATTAATAAATTCAATTTAAAAAGAATTTTTTGTTAAAATTCAGAAAAGTACTTTTTCTGCACAACAGTACACCATCCACAAATATCTCAAGTGAAGAAATGACAGTTACTCCAGATATGCCACTTTCTACTTCTGATGATGGTTCTTTATTAAATCAGGAGGAAGACATGTACTTTGATGTAGACAATGAGCCAACTGAATCACTACTAGTTGAACCAGAAACTGAACCATCAAGAGTTTTACCAGATACTGGATTCCATTTTTTATTCTCAACTGATGAAACAGTGGACTTGACCACTAAAGAAGACAATACTCCAAAAAAGTTTGTTGATATTATGGATTAGTCTAGAGTTTAGTCATACTTAAATATATAAATATAATATTTGTTACAGAAAACCAATCATGAAACAAAAGAAAACTCCTAAGCCCAAAAAGGCTGCGGCTTCTAAGTAATGCATTGTTATTTGCTTTAATATATTGTGTATATTGTAAATATGTAATATATTTATATATTTATAAATATCCTTTATTTTGTATTTAGGAAACAGATTCAGAAAACTTCCATTGCTCAAAGTAATCTAAAAACAAAAAGTCAACTAATAAGATCGTCTACATCATCAACTATAGAAAAGTAATATATATTTTTATTTAACTGTTATACTTTTTTGTTTTAATTTAGCGTTGATCTAATTGAATATTGATTTAGAAAAAAAAGAAAACAGTTATGAGTTAAACTAGGTTCAAATCATAATTTCATAAACACCATTCTGTAGTTTATTTGTAACAGAAAAATTTAAAAATAGCTTTTTAAAGTGCAAAAGGTTTCTTTTAACTTCAACCAACAAGTCAAGTTATTTGACCTACCACATCATTGTAAAACCAAATACCAATACATTATCATTATCCTACACACAATTTTAAATAATCATAAGCTAAGGATTAATTTTATTTTTTCAAATTATATTACTAAGGCTGTAGCTTTTAAGTAATGCAGTTATTTGAATTAGTATTAATAATTACCCTTTTTTCTATACTTAGAAAAGAGACTCGGAAAACTTCCATTGCTGTACATAATCTAAAAACAAAAGGTCAACTACTAAGATCATCGACGTTGCCAACTACAGAACAGTAATATCTTTTTTTTATTGTTAATTTATAGATGTCATTAGTCTGTCTATTTCATTGTAACTTTAAATTACTATATTTTTTTTGTTTTTATTTGACATTGATCTAATTGAATATTGATAAAAAAAAAACCCATTACGAGTTAAACTCTGTTAAAACCAAAATTTCTTAAACTTATTTACTTGACTGTAGTTTTCCATAATCTTGGTGAAAATTTAAAAATTACTTATTAGAACACTAAACAATTCCATTAATTTAAACTAACAAATCAGGTTTCTGGACACCTAACCACATCATTGTGAAAACAATACAGAATCCTACACTCTCAATTTAAAACCAACTATTAACCAAGCACGTAGCTAAGGGCCACCCAAAATATTTTAACGCCACCCCATTATGTTGTTGAAATACCTAAGGCTCAAATAATTGAGTAAAAAAAGTTAAATCATATTCAAAAATGTATATTATGATGTTTGTTATGATTACATAATTATCTTTAGCTCTGTAGTCTCATGACAATTACAAATATGAACATAACAGATTGTAATTTATCGCATCGGGGGACGGAGTGGCCGAGCGGTCTAAGGCGTCGGTTGCGACGCTGCCGGCGCCGGTTCAATCCCGTGGTCACGGGCGGCATTTTTCTTCGGGCAAGTCACGGTGTCCCCTCCCGGGCATGGCAGATACCTACGGGTTCCCAAATCGAAAATTCTGCCAAAACCAACACACGGGTTAACAACCTACAGTTCCCCCCCCTACAGTACCACAGGCTAATGATCTTTGTTGCCGAAGCCTCAACCCTAATAAAAAAAAAAAAAAAAAATTTATCGCATCACTTGCAATTCGATTTTTGAACAGCATGGTCAGAATAGAAATCATTCATTGATACTTATCATATTCCTTGTGTTAACATGGAACACAATGCATGTAGATTATGAACCTACATTCCTATTTCATCAATTTGGCATTTCTCATCACGGCATCATTTATTGGTTAGCGATGGTTAGCTTGTTACCACAATAATTATTATGTGTATTATGCACAATAATAGTAATATAATATAGGTACAGGTACCTATTTATAATCTATAAATATAAATACAATCGAAAATTTTCTATTTTCATATATGACAAATAATGCTATCAAAATATATACCTATTTTACTTTTGTTGCTTTAATATTATATTTAAAAGAGAAAGACTTAGGTATGTTTCTTCATAATCCCAAATTTCAATGAAATAATAGTTTCATCGGATCACCCAGAACCTAAAATTATATTAAAAACCGTATAAACATACTTCTAAATTTAATTATTACCTAGTTTCCGGGAGGGGGAGGGGGAATAAATGTTGGCCACTCAAGAAAAATGTCTGTGAGAATTAGGCCACCCTAATTGTGTAATCCTAGCTACTTTTCTGACTAGTACCTACCAGGGGCGTAGCGTGCATGTAAGCACTGTAAGCACTGCTTACACTTTAAATGAAAGAAAAAATAAATTTGATCAATCACGACTAATAGGTACATAATAAATGATTTTTAAAATTTTAATTTTATTTATAAAATATTTAAGTTATAGCTGGTAGTGGTTTTTGTTATTGTTTATTTGTGTCGTACGCTGTCTACTGATTACCAACTATTTTAAGAAAATCATCGATTGTAGGTCTATTTTTAACCCATTCTGTATTATGTTAACTGCATAATCATAATACGATCTTATATTGCATTCTGAAATTGCTTACGCGCAACTGTTGTTTTCGAATAGTCTATAATGCCATAGTGAGGGTCACGTATTTAACTAGCGTTTGTAAGCACATTTGATTTTGCTTACGCGAGAAACAAGGAGCGACCAGTACGTAGCCTGAGACTGCGTTTTAGACTGTAGTCGTTTTTACGTATACTGTCACTCTCATTCGCCTAATAGACTTTTGAAGTATTTATACTTCAATTTCTTTATTTTCTCGAATTTGATTTGTACAACTAGTATATTTTTAAAAATATTAAAAAATTTAAAAGGATAACATTTTTTATACATAATTTATAATTAGGTATTTAGGTATAGTACCTATATTCTAATCACTTTTGAAAAAAAAATTTCACTACTTACATCTTTTTAATACCCACGTCACGCCACTGGTACTTACAGATTAATTTTAAAAAGAGATTACATTTTCAACATTTCTTGATTTTGAAGAATTTTGTTAGCATTTTAATTTTAGATTTCCTTATTTATTTTTATATTATATGTAATCTGATATTACATTTCAAATTTTTTCACCTAGCAAAAATGATTTTAATAGAATTTTGAAAAAAAAATAAAAATATTGAAAATGTCCTAATCTTATATATTATAGCTCAAAAATGTAAATTACAATGTATTTAAAATTCTAATATAAACATTTGGTGAACATTAATTATATTTATGTTTGTTCAAAAATGAATTTCCATAGATACTTGAAATTTTCACCAAATGTTTATTTTATTATTTTCTATATGTGAAAATCACAGTAGGTGAGTTGATTCCCGAGACCTACTTTATGTATTAGTTGATTCCCGGGTCATTATATGTCACAGTATACTGGTAATCCATTACCAGATACCTATTTTTAAAAACAATATGTTTTACATTTTTACCAAATTACTACATTTTTTTAATAATATTTTTGTACCTAATTGTCTTGAAATTAGATATTTAAATGAAAAATAACAATTTTAGTAACTCTTTTTATAATTTAAAATATTTACCCTGGGTATTTGAAACTTTTAAAATATATTTTATATGGGTAAACAATGACATTTTCAAATTAAATTTTTTCGACAAAAAAGTATTCAATCTACTATGCCTAATAGTAAAATAAATCACTATAATAGCATTAATATAATTTAAAATATTTAGTAATATTATAGGCTTCGCTTAGAAACATTTTTCACATACATTGAATTCAAATGTAATACAAATGTATCCTTTATTGTTTTTTTTAAATACTGGGAATTTTCAATTTTGATGTTTCAAAAATACCATCTAGGTCTAAATTGTTATCAGAAATCACCCTTAAAGTTAAAAATCAACACGTTTTTTCTACTATATATTGTGTATATTGACAAAATAATATATTTTATTTTCATATTATTCATAAAATCTTATGTTGTTATTTTTGCACTAAAAGAAATCAATAATATGAAAACATAAATTTATAATATTTAAAATATGGCAGAAAACTGCGGTTTGCCACGTTGAAATTTTATTGAATTGTAAAAATTAGTTTAAACTTAGTATAAACTTATATTCTAAAAGATAGACATAGTAATATTAGTGAGTTAAATGCAAATTGTACCGATGTTGTTATATTAATAGTGAACTGAGACAATAACAATAAATAACTACATTAAATAATATTGAGGAAGAAAAACTACCGAGCCCTAGTAATGAGAAAATTGTATTTTAAAGGTCGGACACGTCAATTACAAAGCCTAGGCCCAAGAGAGCATCTGCTATTGACAGTGCTGCTGAGAATAGAAAGTATATTTTGATTTAAAAAATTCAATTGAACATATTGTAATTTATAAGTATATATTTTTTTCAGTTCTGGTTTATATAAACTGGGAAAACACATAGAGACTAAAGATTGCAGATGGACCTTACCTGTTATAAATAATATTTCATTACCTATGTTTCAATGTCCAATATGTAATGTATATCTCTATAGTCCAGAGTCACGCAAACATCATGAAGTCTTAAAGCATTCCAAGTTGCTTGAGTCTATACATGAACCTGTGGATATTGATTCTACCCCAGGAAATACTGAACCGTTAACTGAACAGTTAACCCTTTTTAATTATTTGCAACTTTGCGTTACATCAAAACATAAAACAAAAGCAGTCCATCAATTGGCCAAAAGAACAAATTTTTTGAAAGCATTGAAGACTTTAGGACCTAAAATTATTGGCTCCTTTAAGTGTACTTATTGCTCGTAAGTATTAAACATCAATAAATTTCAACTACCTAATTTTTATTAACAGTACCTAAATATTTTTGTATTTTTTAGATATACAACAGAACTTATATTTGCTGTATGGGCTCACATGACCTCCGAACACCTTTATCTTAAATGTGATGCTGAAAAAAAGACATGTTTATATTGCTTTTTGTGCAATCGCACTTTAACTAAACGTACAACAATGCTCAAACATTTAGACTCATGTATTAATAAAAAACTAAGTGAACCACCACCACCACCAATTACCAATAACCCAAGTAAACGATTAAGTTGTATGTTTTGTGCTGAAACTTTTGATTCATTGTCAGTATTCGAAAAACATATTTGGTCACATGCAAAAAAGTAATAGTAGGGTTATAAACATTAATATTACTTATATAATATATATATATGGTATATAATTAACATATATATATTGTATATATATGTATATATTTTATAGCTGATATTTGTATAAACTTTTTTTTGTTTTTATAAGTTATAGTGTTATCCATTACATGTTATAAATATTTCCTTAACTATTGTTAATATTATTAGGTTGTTCAAAAGTAATCTTTTTGAAATTGTAATTTAATTTCTAACTAAATATAATTCAAAACTACTTATAATTTTCACCAATTTTAATTTCACTGAAGGGTAAACATATGCATTATTTCATATTGATTTATACTTTAATATAAGTATGTTTCTTTGCTTAGAATAATCTTTTAGTTATATTTAATGAATTATCATTTTTTTTGTTACATTGAAATAATGCAAGTTAAAAATTGTATGTCTTATTTATATTTACATTAAGATTTTATTTTGTATTATTATTATTACTATTTTTTTTTTGTACACAAGCAATTAATCGTGTATGCTTGTCCTACTAAATTTAAGTATTTCTAACTAACGATAATTATATAACTAAACTAAAACTAAAAATGTTAATGAATAAAATCCGTTATTATCTTATAAACTGTTGAATGCAAATAAAATTATCACTTGCATTCTACAAATTAAAAAAAAAATATTAATTTTTTTATCATAACATTGCGATTTCATAAATATCTCAATACATCATACTTTATAATATTTATTTATTTAAAGTATGTAGTTATATTCAGATATTTCAAACTTGGGGGTGTTTTCCAATTTATTTTGAAAAACTGTTCGTTTACTTTTATACTACAATTAAAATATTTTTTATGTTGTTATTAATTATTATAATTTATTTTTATTAAGTTTGCTGAAACAGACTGAATTTTATATTATGTCAAAATGATGACTGGGGTATTTTTAAGTTGTATTATTTGTTTATTTATTATATTATTGATCTGTTATTTGTTTTATATATACAAATTATTACAACATGCATAATGCATAAAAATAACTATGATTAATACTATAATAATTAAGAAGTTAACTAATTAACATTAAACATAATACATAAAAACAAATGTATGATTTAATTAAAAATGTATAATTGTAAAATTATTTTGTAAGCTTATTTGCAAAAAAAAAATTTTAGTCTTCAGAGACTTCAATATTTGTCTTTTGCTGAGTCTTAGTTACATCCAGGTGTGAATTATTCTCTAGCAATATTTAAAAGATATTGGTGTCTGGTGGACCGTTCATGGATAATTAAATTGTATTTAACATTTTTTCATGGAAGGACCGTATACTATAACTTATTTTGATACATATAATAAGTATTTAGTTTTATTATTTTTATTTTTAAATCTATATGTATTGTTTGACAAGTTGTGTGAATGTATATATAACTAATAATTTTATATTTTTTATTATTAAATATATGGGCAAAATTAATCAAATTATTAAAAAATAGTTTGAATAATTTTAATTCGCATACTCAATTAAAGTAATGAAAATTCAATAAGAATAGAAATCCTTCTTGTTGAATGAACATGAACCAGTACAACAAAGTGAATTTTGTAAATATTTTTCTTTAATTTATTTATCATAAGTGAGCACACTTGTCGCAGGGTATGATTTTATTTTATAATTAACTTAATACGTGTAAGTAACATAAATGATTAAATATCTTTATTTTATAAATATAGGTAATATAATTAATTTTAGTATAGTACAAATTAAATGTTTTGTCATTTATTTTACCCTACTCTTTAGGTTAAAAATTTAAAAAAAAAAATTGAGAATTATTTTCTTAGTTTGATACAAACATATTATATTTTATTTAGATTCTTTCATCAAATACATTGTGGAGGCTTAATATTAATATTAAACTTGCACTGACATTTCACTCCACCAAAATAAAAACTGACTCGTGTCGTGTGATTTTGACTTGGTATATCAGCTAATCGTGTACTTATAGGTAATGGCATTGATTATATAATGAATGGTAATAGTTTTAATCTTTGACAGTGTTCTGGAAGGCCCAAAAAGTGGCAAACTAAACCCATTTTATATCACCCATCCCACATGGTCTATACTAGTACCGTCTATATTATACATTTTGCAATAATGCATAGTTTTTACCTACTATAAATAGTATGAATATATCATTTTTTTCCTAGTCCTGTTAATTGTTTTAAATAACTGTTATTATTACATTACCCGTGGAGGATATGAACTGAGTCATAAAGTAATAAATAATGATGGATAACTGGATAAGTATATATTTTATACAACAATAATATTGGCATAGGGCTTCTATAATTACATCTTGCAGTCAAGTGTCTATATTAAAAATATAGTCATATTATTATTACATGTTAAAATGTATTGTAATCACCCATTTCGTACTTGTTTTTGAACTTATTGTATTATGAGGTATTATTTATTGTATTATAATTATTATTGGTATTGTGTTATACTTCTTATCATGATTGGGATAACTACGTATTGGAGTACCTACCTATTAAAAAAAAAAAATAATAGGTCAATGGTGATGTTGAAAAACTTAATTACCACGGACTAAAATAGAATTTTATCTTAGGCCGTGGTGATTATCGAAATACCGACGCAGTCTGTATTTTCGGTAGTTACCATTTGTCTTACCGTAAAACGGTTAATAACTAACCGAATACCAATATTTGCAGGAGACTACGGAAAAGGATGGCTTGGTAATTTATTAAAATAAAATAACATGGCGGCATTTGGAAATATGTCAACGGTCTTGTTTCTCATCGTCAGACTCGACTAGTGACTGGAAGCAGACTAATAAAGTAATAACTAATAACTAATAACTACTAAAACTATAATAATCGCTAATATCGAATAATAATAATAATAATAGACAGCATGGAACTCGTTTAATATAAGTTAATCAGATGCGGGAATGCGGGATAATATGATAAATTTGATCCATAAGAACGACCGTCAGTGGTCATTATCTGAACAATTACAAATTGATATAGGTATTATACTTGTACATAATATTCATGCATATCAAAATTCGAAATACCTCCAACCCTGCTGGCTAGGTACCGTAAAGTACGAAATTCGGCACACTATATGTCATAATGAAGCGCAATTCATAATTTTGTATTATTTGGTTCTAATAATTACATTTTTGTTACCTGCTGATTTTGTTCTTGTGAAAGTATAAAACTACCTATTAATTAATACATTTCCGATTTGTTTTTTTTTTGCCTATTTCATTGTTTTTATTGCATATTTTTAGCACATATTTAGTAATTTTGTCGGTTTAAATTAATAACTAATAAATTTTTTTTTTTTTTCATATTTAGTTTTTTTTATTGCCTTTTTGGCGATAGTTGAAGTAGTATTACTTATATTTCGTGCTTATACATCTTGATTTTTTGATTTATTGTACTATTATTACCGTATTTGTTTCAAACGAACGTCATCATAAAAATATCTCGTTTGCAAGGCGTTATATAAAATTAAAACGTACAATTTGGTCGGAAAACTGAATATTTAATTCCTATACCAGGGTCCCATGAGGCATACGTCATGAAGAAGACGCACACTTGTTACTTGACGCTTGGTGTTCTTTTGACCCCATAAATCCATCGAGAATCGTTTTTTACAATGAAAAAACCGTTAATGAATACATTTTACATGAATAGATAAAAAAAATTGTTAGCAGCGATATCAATTGATACAGTAAAGATTTAAAACTTGCTATTGTAAATGAAATAATTCGATTTAAAACAATAGCTAAACATTTTTCAAATGATGAACAATTATCTAGTCAAACTTTTCTAAAAACATTAGCTAGATCAAAATTTAACTGTACGTTTCCCCAAATGTTTAAATAGCATTGAAACTTTTTTTTCAATACCATGATCTAAATTAATAGAAGATCTGTTTCCATTTTAAAGATAGTGAAAAACTTCCCAAGAACGTTTCAATATCTAATGAAAAGATTTCATCGATAGCCCTTGGACATTTTTAACGAATTCGCAGCATTAAAATTTAAAAGTCTTAAATTTGTGTTAATAAAGAAACAAATAAAAAATTCCAAATTTCCTAATGTAATTTATTAATATTATTATTTATAATTTTAGCAATATACTCTGTTCAGGTTAAGAGTGCCCAAAATCGCGCATGCATACTGAGCCGCCGGCAGCTGTCAGACCCATAGATAAAGAAGTAAGACCCCCCAGGCGACAGCAGACGCACTGTGATTGGTCAGCATTGTCGACCGCCGTCGTTGACTGTCGGATCGGACTATCTGCCGCCGTCTATATACAGATGGTTGTGCGTCGGCACACCAGAGCGCTCCCCATGCATGCGCGAACAGAACCAGTTTTCGTCTGAGCGACTGGGCACTCTTCACCTGAACAGAGTATACGGTATTAGGTAGTATATAGTATTAGCAGGGTATAGACACTCTGTGTATTGGGAAAATCGGGTGACTCTGGCCTTGAGCACGGTCTCTGAGGGGGCGTGGCATATGTTATCATTTAAATAAATCATATCAATATTATCAGTCCACAGAATAATAATACAATATATTATTTCATTAACAATAAACCAATGTAAAATTACATTTAGTTTTTAATTTATATTAAAACAAAATCCTTATTCATTTTACCAAAATTTAATATTGATATACTTAAAATATGAAAAATAAATTATTTATCGTTATTAATCGTTTATAAAAATTCCGTAACAAAAAGGGATACACGTTGCTAACGTTCTATCAGATTACGGATACGGTACAACTTTTATAGTCCAATACATCATACCGTAGGGATACGTAAACCCTCACAGCTGATCGAGTGTCTATTCTATATTGTTCTGTGGTATTAGGTAAAAGTGTAGTAAAGCGTGGCTAAATACAATTTGCTTTGGGCGGAAAATTTGTTGACGTGCAAGCACTGTGACGCATAATACACGGGTCCCTGGTACAATAAAAATCGATTTTTGTACCACCATAATATGAGGAATACCATGTTCTGGTGTACGTTTGGTTGCCTATTTAATACCTATTGATATTTTTATGTCTTATCAAGTGGAATTTTATGATAATTCATTTATTTTATTGACTAACTATAATACGATTTAAATAACACATTTGTTTTTTTTTAAATTATAGGTCGGTGATTATTCAAACGTATACAGTTTTATTGTTTATTCATACAGTATACAGATACATTTATTTACCAGTATCCCGGCAGCAGGTATGTTTAATTTATGGCAACGGTTTACATATTTTATTACCTATTTAAGGTGATAAAGAAAAGGTAAAAACCTACGGGTGCCCCGATAGAAATTCTGCCAAACATTCACGTGTTCCTAACCGACCGTATGAACTGTCCCAACCCTACTGTACCAACCCTACTGTACCAACCCTACTGTACCAACCCTACCAACCTACAGGCTAATGACCTCAGTTTTCGAAGCCTTAAAATAATATTAAAAAAAAAAAACAAAACAAAACAAAAAAATAAATAAAAAATAATACTTATATTTTATACTATTACTACTTTAATTTGAAACCAATAGCAACATTAGCAACCTTACAATAAACAAAAATATATTATTATTTAGTTTATTTTTTTTATGAACAGATGGCGCCGCTGTTGAATTTTTGACATCCAGATTTAGTTGGGCCATCCTCTAACCGCCACAACTTTATCGGACTTAATGTATGCCTAAAACCTGCTCAGCGATGTCCTCTTTAGATCAAAATGGAATGCCGATTGAATAAGTAGGTAGTTTAGGAGCCAACCCGTAATAAATTATATAATAATAAATAGATCATAGATATTACAGGTCTTTGTAACATTGATGTTATGGAACTATTCGTTTTTAAAACAAACACATTTTAAAGATAAAATAGGAAACACATACCGAACTGCAATTATTATAGTTGTCACTTTTTTAATGCTTTTTATATATTTTGTTTCTTTGTATGGCGTAGAATAAATTATATTTTTTTTATATAATACTATAACGCTGGGTTTCATAAACAATCACTAAATATTTAATGAATCGACCGCTGTGAGCAATGGTCTTGGTACATGATTTAGTAAACCATGATTGGTCCATTAAATTTTAGTGAATTATAGTTTTATGAAACTTGGCATAAGTATTTTTTTTTTTTAAACCGGGTAAGTGCATGTCGCTCTGCTGTACAGTAGGTTACAAGTGGGTCAATGTATAATGGATTGTATTAAACTTGAATTCAACCATAACATATCATTGTATAAGAAAAACGATTCTGAGAGGAGAGTGGAGACGGTTTGTCAGTCTGGATTTCTTATATTGCTATTATTTATTATAGCCTTTAAGTTGGCTTAATATTATAATATTATAATTTTTTATTCGTTGCTATGGTGATATACAAAGCGTTAGAAATTAAAATCCTATTTTTAGCGGTTTTTCGTCATTAGTCAGTCGGTTTTCTCGTGGCATTAAATAACTATTCAGAAAATCGAAAAATGACCTCTTTAAAGAACCATCTTGATCCAATTTGCTAAAATTTAAGGTGGTATATTATGTTGAAGTCGAAGCCCTTCTTCTGGTAGAAATTTTGTATACAGGATAAAAAAATAAATAAATAAAAAAAACACCATTGTAAAACCACTAACTTCAGATCTAAAATTAAAGTTAACATAACAATAACATGTCAAATATTACAATAGAAAAAAAAACATTACCTACACAAAACTTAATTTTTTTTATTATGGTTTTAAACTTAAGTTACAGACAACCATTCTATGTGCATATATATATTATAAATTATAATAAATCATATCAAATTATAATTAAATCTTTGAGATTTTAAAAATTGACCGCTTTATAAAAAATACACATAAACATAATTTACTTCTCCTTGAAGCACTTATATTAAGACCTATCTGCAATGCAGTAAAACAAATACAAAATATTTTTATAATTGTCATATTAAAGATAATGCACAGACATTTAGAAAAATTATACCTAACTATAATTATGGTTATCTTTATTTATCTTGGGGCCGGCTTTCGTATTAGTTAGAAATTTTAAATCGTATCCTGGACGATAAACCAGGACTAAATAATTTTTCCATTACCTATACGAAATTACCTACCTACAACTTTAAGTCTACCTTCACCAAAGAGTTACCATAAATGTGTTATTATAATACATTAATACTTTCAATCCAATCCTACACTAGCAGCTGTAATATATACATTGTTATACTTATTTTCAAAGGAAATAATCTTTGTGGATCATTTTCCCCGTTCCCCCACCGATCTCCATGTATTCGGCACCTATTGATTAACAATTTGCATCTCTGGTATACTCCAAGAAAATTATATAGAGATATATTATATTCATAAAATATCTATTATATTATCTATTGTCTGTAGAAAATAATAACAAGCCCAATATTTTTTTTTTTTCATTTGTGTTTTAGGTTTTTATTTAAAAACAATAGATTTTAGCTAATATATTATAATAAAATAATGTAAAAATGTATGTACAACATTTGAATACGAGCTATATGTTATAGTTATATACATCAATTTCAAAATTAATGTTTAAAACGTTTAATTTATAAGTAAACAAAATAATGTAACTAAATTTATTTTATCATTATTTAGTATTATTATTTTATTGTTTAATATTCGAATGACAATGGTAATTGTATTAAAAAAATTCAAAGATATAAAAAAATGAATAACAAAATTGAAAAACGAGACCAAAATTTGAAGGAATATAATGTGATCGCTCTGACGTGTAAAGCAAAAAATGTACAATATTTAAATTAAAAAAAATTAAATAAATAGAAATTATAATTATAATACCTAATACACATATTATATTATACTATATTATAATATACATATATTATCATATAATTATTTTGATTTCGGAATCGTTCGTAATATATTATTCAAAGACGAAAAACTATTAGTATTATTTTAACATTTTTGATTAATACGTTTACGCTAACGTGTATAGGTACTCGTATATAACATAAATAAAAAAAAAAATACAAAAAAAATTAGAAAGAATATTAAAAAATAACTCAAAAGGACCAACAACATAAATATTGTCGATACGGTATTGAGTCGCGTTTTCTATCGTTTGTATGTACATAATTACGTTTTTTTTTTTATCTTTAATAATATTTGATTTAAATGTTTAATATAATATCATCATAATATTAATTTAATATTCCTAATAAAATTTGTTTCGTTCTACACGACTGCGGTGTAACGCAGCCATGGCCCCTTTGTGCTTCATCTGCAGCAGTACAACGTGTCGCTCGATTGCGATTTTCGCGTCTCTATCGCAGTTTTCGACCACATTTCGAATTTGGAAGAAATTTGACGCAATTCACGTCACGACTGTTTGCCTGCGCCTTTCGTCCGAAATCGTATACGACACCGGAGGAGAACATCGTCGACTCGCGATACGATCGTACACCGTTGTAGATCGACCGCGAACTATACTCAACCTAATTTATATTAATTTGTTAATATCACACGACGGCAACAACGACGAAAAAAATATTATTATTGTAATAATAATAATAATAAATCGTATGATGCTTATTTCGATCGCGTTGGATGTCATAATATGTCTCCCGGCGGGACGGGCAACGGACACGCTACCGTTACCGCGGTATCGCCGGTCGGTACGCGGTATACACCTATTTAATAATATACGGTCAGCGCACAGCGGCTATGCGAACGGCGTGTACGGATAACCGACGGGGTCGCAGTCGCCTCCACCGCCTCCGCCACTGGCGAACATACGTCAAATGGATGATCTGTGTTCGTTCTGCAGCTGCTGCAGTTGTTGTTGTTGTTGTTGTTGTTGCTGCTGCTGCTGTCGCTGTTGCTGTTGCGTTTGGACGACGCGCTGCCGGCAGCTATACGGATCGGCCGACGTGGACGCCGCCCCGCGACCGTCGTAGAACGTGTCCAGCTGTATGTCCTGCGGTTCGCACGTACCGTCGTCGTCCTCGTCGTCGTCGTCGTCGCCGCTGCACCCGTCGTCGCCGTCGTCGCGGTCGCCGCCGCTGCCGACGCCGACGCCGCGTCCGGTCCCGACTCCGTAGACCGAGCCGGACGCGTACGGCGGCGAATCACCCGAACGGTAACCGTCGTTCCGGCTCCTCGACCGCGTGCACGTGCAAGTGCACACGGACGCGTTGTCGGCCGGCGAGGACGACCCCCTGCCCCGACCTGATCCACCCGCCGCCGCCGCGCTGCCCATCGGCAGGCTGGACACGGACCCGTGCGAGGTGATCACGTCCCCTTCCAGCCGGACGGCTCCTTGGGCGGCCTGAAACACAAGGACGCGAAAAATATGATTACTATTATGGCGAGAAAGTACAATATTGTATTAATTGAATATTTGTCTGTAATATAATACTATGTGCTACATCCGTAGGTAACCAAACTATATTTACGTATATGGACAAGTTTAAAATTCGAACATTTAAAACGATTATTTTCCATGTTTCACCAATAATTTTAGAAAAAACGTCTATATTTCTTTATTTTTGTGCAAAATGCTTATATTTCAATATTTTAATAATTCTAAAATAAATATTAGTGTTTCTATTTTGTGATCTGCGTATTTCAATAGACAACTCCACAAATATTGAAAATATATTTTTGTTAGTACGCTATATGTTTAGGTACCTATTATACCGGTAAATGGCGGTAATACTTTTTTCGTCCAATAAGTAAAATGACCAACTTGCCACTTGCAGTTCCCCATACATCAAAACATTCTCTTTCATTTAATTTATTTGATAAAACAATATTCAATATAGTAATATACTAACAATGCAACGATGTTCATAAATAATAATAATAATATTATTTTCAGGCCGAGTAATAAGATGGGACACATTACCCATTTAGAAATTTGATATAGGCGAATATTTTTTAAATATAATGTCATAACTTGGATTCCTTAAAGTTTTTCCACATGCTATCAGCGTTAAATATCGTTTCCTTATTTTTTTTAAAGATTTTGGATAATTCGTAAGCTTTGCAAAATCTCCAAGTACGAAAGATCAAAAATTGGATTTCCAGAAGCCCCTGATAATAATAAATGGATATTTTCACTATTTCTGAAGAAATATCATTCAAATCCGTCCACAGAATAAGACACAAACAAGGATTACGGTTTTCTTTCATTTTCCGTGAGAAAAAAAGCAACCGATGTAGCCGGGGTCTCCTTAAATCATTTTTCCGCGAACATTATCGCGTATATTTTTAACGTATTGCTTCGCGGACGGCTGTTGGGTGGGGATCGGTTGGATTTTCGCCTACACCAGCTAGGCAGTGACGTCACGTCAGCAATACCTATACAATATTTGGCGAACAGGTTAGGTTAATTTTTTTCACGCTTTCTCTCGACATTACTGACTCTCTCTGACTTACTGTGTCAACATTGTTATCATTATAACGATAAAAAAAATAATTTTTCTTGCTCACGATGCCGTGTACTGCGCAATCAGCCGGAGTGACCACCCTCTCTCCAACCATCCGCAGACCACTCCCCAAATGCGTCATTGCGCCTACCCGCCCAAAGTCTACCCGAAACGGCCGTATACACGCATCGACGACCAGCGAATTATTTAAGTACTTATGTAATAATCCGTTTCGCGTTCCTCGTACGAGAATTTATTACTGCGTACAGATAATTATTAATTGGATAATATTTTTTTTTTTCGTTTATCTCGACCTGACCGGGCTGGTAGGTATGTACACTTCTGTTGTAGACACAAAGAGGGTGGAGTTGCGTAATCCACGGTTCGTCGATTAAAACGCGCACACCAAAGTCGACGCACAACTTAGCACGCCCAGCCATCGCGCTAATTAAATGTCACACGTGACGTTCACGTGAACACAACACACACACACGTCATCATAAATTTTTTTTATATAATACGCAGAGTATTTTTACATATTTTCATATTATAATATGTACGTCATAAAATCGGTGTATGCGCTGTGTGAAACGATGATGGATGTGAATTTCGATAAACTGAAAACCACGCTTTACTTTAATTCGAACGGCCTCCAATGTGAATGTCAGATAAACGATTCTGTCAAACCAGAAGATTAAGAGATCTATAAAATAAAGCACTGTAATAACTTGTAATAATTATTGCGTTCATATACAATTAATACTATCTATGCATATTATAATATTAACTTGTACGGGGCAATATATAGGCAAAATAGGTACATCGGCGTGTAGGAGAACATTTTGAAAAATTAAATCGACTTCTTAGTATTAGGTATTAATGTATTATGATACCTTTTGTACATTATTATTATTATTATTATTACAAATGTACGGTTGTATCGATTCTATGTTATAAAAGAGGTTATCCATAGTAATATTAGATTTGTAAATACCGATTGATGACTTTAAAGAGTTGGTGCCGTTCAAGAGGATTACGTGAATTGAGCCATATAATTGAGTTTTATTATACATTGATATTATAATATTGTAGGCCTTGTTTTTCAATGAGTTTATAAGTTTTAAATTCTAAACTATCGTTGTTTTATCGATGCAAAATATTTTTAGATATGTTGATAAATATTTTGAACATGTACAAAATATGTACATACCTATTTTAAAATTGATACGATTAAATAAGAAAGTAAAATTTTGCCTTTTGCGTTCATGTCATTAATTTACCAATGTTAATAATAGTACGATAACATTAACAATATGTTTGAAAATTACAATATAATTTTTAAAAAGCCGCACACGTTATACGATGACGTAACGACTGTGCTTCCGGTGCGTGATAAAATAATCAAAATATTGTCGTTTTCTTGTCATTTGGAAAATCTACGATATCCACAATGTATGGTTTTAGGGCTGATAATATTATGTTTTAAGAGAAAAAAGTTCACTATACTGTACAAGTCGGATATTATCAATTGCTATCCAGTCACACGCTCGCAAATAATAATATAGTCTTGCAAGTCGTAATAGTGTCATCGTAGTATTAAAGCGACTATACAGTATAATAACGCGTATATGCATGTACGGCGGGCCAAACGTGACGAGACATAATAATATGGTGAATATAAGATTATCGTTATACACACACGATAATCATAATATTATATAGTCGTATAAGCGTTATTGTTATTTTTATAATATAATATAATGCCGCAATTATTATTTTATGATATGATTAAGCCTATCGGACGGTCGACAAACACGCGCGGTACCTAAGATTTTGGCGCTCTTCGCCAAATCGAGCGCATAAATGTACAATTATTATTATTACTATCGTCTACTGCAAACCGCGGCTTAGAACAGTTTTTACTGAGCCGTATATGGCTATAATATATTTTATCGGTATCCAGGTATTTTTTTTTTTTTTTTTTTTATTGTTTACGGCCTTTTAGACCACACATACAAACAGAACTGCCTCCACCCTTCACGATTTTGTGCCAGCATATGCCAATCCTCCTCAGGCAGAAAGACTGCTACATCCTTCCTGACACAATCCTCCCATCGCATTCGGGATGGCATTTTAGTGGTCTTTTCCCTCTTGGATTCTCTTGTAAGACCGTCTTTGTCAAAGCATCAGGTTTCCTCCATACATGACCTGTCCATTCCAATCGTCTTCTTTTTATCTCCTTTACTATATCCGGTCTGTTATATAGGTGATGTAACTCCTCATTGTGTCTTTTACGCCATTCACCTGTTTGCAGGTCATGACATGTTCCATATATCCTACTTAATATTTTCCTTTCAAAAACTCTCAGTTTTGACTCGTCACTTTTCCTTACTGTCCAACATTGTGCTCCGTATAGTACTATAGATTTTATTAGTGTGGTGTATAGCTGAACTTTAAGTGTCTTTGAGATAATTCTTGACTTAAGTAAGTTATCCATAACTTACACTATAACACTTGTTACCCATTTGGATCCTTTTAAGTATTTCATACTTCGGTATCCAGGTATGCCTATAATATTATAGTTCATCTGTATACGCGCGTACGTATTATTTAATATTATTGTGTATACGGTACATTATCGTTTCGGAATTCTTTGAGCAGTACACAGTACACTACATAATATAATACATAATATAGGTAGGGTAGGTATTTGGTAACTAGATATATAATAATAATAATATGATATGTATGCGCCATATCATCACCGTACGCTCGTGGCTCTTTTCGCCTCCCGTTCGTTCACGTTCCGTTTTTTTTTCTATTTCTTATATTATTCTCTATACACGTTATTATACACGAGCCTTGTGCCCACGCCTGCCATACAGGCAATTTATTTTCTTCCGTCGATACCGCGTATAACATATAATAATAAAATATATTATACAGTAATAATATAGTATAATGTAAAACGCCACAGCGCCAATGAGAAATCGCTTATATCGCCGGGGCGTCCGGATTTTCGTTCGTTCGATTGAACAACAACAACGACGACACACTCCCCCCACCCTCAGTGGCCTCCCCTTACCCCTATCTACATCCTTATGAACTATAACATTCGTGTGTACCTATATATATACAATATACATAATATATAATATTATTATGATATATTATAGCCGTGAAACGAGTGCACAACAGTGCGTGTTACGCGCTTATAATGACGTATATATATATATGATATAGTCCGTTATTATAATGTGTAGGTGAGTATTTATGACTATAAACGTTTTTACATTAAACGCAAAACCTTCCGTTTGACAAATGGACATTTCCCCTTGTTTTAAAAAGAAGATATGAAGTAATTTTAATCGCCCGAGTCAGAGTATGACGCATACGCAGCTAACCCACTCAATCGTGACCACCAATGGACCCTACAACATGCAAGGACAACTCGTGCAAGGATAACCTTACGATCAATCACGTTGTGCACATCAAATGTCTGAAATACACTGAAGCCCTAAAAATCTTTATCAATACAGCTTCACTCCAACTAGTCAACATGCATATTTTGCCGGAGGAAACACGGAAGTATAGGGTAATATTATTTATTTTTCCATTATGTAAATTAGTGTCGAAAATTGTGAATAATGATATTTTGTTTTAATCGCGACAAGACACTCATCCCGTTTAAAAGTAATCTAATAACCATCGCTTTCGAAGAGTTCCCGGATAGTATTATTACATTAGATCTAAAATTATATTAGTTATTAATCATACGCGGGTATAAAAATTAAATGTTTAAGTTCCTTTTTAGTTCCTATATGATTGTAAAAATGAGATGACCTTAGGTTTTTACGCCGACCGGTTATCTATATTATTATTGGAATACGTGTGATAA